TGAGAAGACGGTCAAAGGCGTGAGATCGAAACCGGAAATTCCCAGAGCACCTACTTAATGTATTCATGGGTCAAAATGGACACGTGACTCAGCCTTGTTGTGATTGGCTGCAAATCACCTGATCGTGCGATTCTCAGGCCAGAAAACAAACGCGTTTGTTTTTGTAGGTCACCGATCGTGTCAATCAGTTTGTGCCACGAGGGCCGCTTTGCTCCCTCAATTTGGCTAGCCCTGACTACCCGATGGGCCCGACCCGACCCGACCCGATCGCGTATGTGGGGACCCCCTATTATTCGCAACACGACGTCACATCGCGCTCGGCAGTCACCAACGGCCGGACCACATCAGACACCAGACAAAGCGTGTTGACCGGCACTCCTTGGCTAGGTATTTTGACCAATTGTGATATGCTTTTAACCGGTCATGCCCCCCCCCCCCCATTCCCAATCCCCTAGTCTGTCAAACGCGGCGAGGTTCTCGATCACTACATACATGGACCAATCACAGGCGATTCAACGCACTTTCCAACCAACCAGTAAACACATTGTCTAACCAATCTACAGGCACTTCTTCAATCAGTCGTTCAACGTTTTTCCCCGCCAATCTGCTTACCCTGTCCCTGTGCAGCAGGCCTACAGTTTTTCTGCCTTGATTTTTAAGGAACAAGAATATTCGTTTCATGTCTCTCCAACATTGCCCGTCCTAAATGCTCACGGAAACTTTAGAAAAAGTCCGACTCAACTAATAACCAGACTCTGTTGAACATATAAAAAAGGAGGGGGGGGGGGATAATCTTTGACCCTAAAAATGCAGACACAAATGAGGGTCGGCTTCTTCCATTTGTTGTAGATTATTGTTACTTTCTCATACCCTCCTGCTATTTACCCCCACCCCTTTTCCTTTACATCCACCCATACCCCCCCTGCACTCTACTATCCCAACATGTCCACCCTTACCCCTAGCACCCTTCACTTTCCGCACTCTATTATCCCAACCTGTCCACCCTTGCCCCCCCCCCCTCCCATAGTCCGCATGAAGGCCACGCACCAAAGACCCATGCCTGCTCTAACAATAACGAGAGAAAAGGGACCATTTGTCCGTGTTTTGCGTCTACCAACATTGTCTGCAGACAAGCTCAACTTTTTATTGTATCGCCTTAAATAATTAAGACGAGGGAACTTTTCTGGAATGTTGTTTGACCAGGACGAGGGAAGAATGAAGGTCTGGCCAATAATATCGTCTCTTCTGTAACATAACACGGGGGCCAGGGCGCGGGGAGACGGTGCTGTGTCGTCTGCTGTTGGTTTTTCCGTCTGTGGAAGCTTTTCCCGGGTAATTGAGGACCTCCAAGTTCTGCAATATCATTTGTGCCATGACACGGTGGAATCAAGCGCTCGTCATTTTGGGGGAACGTGAAGTTATGGATGTCATCTTAATGCTTCTGTATTATCTCTTTAGTTGTTATTTTAATAGAAAAATACCCGTTTACCTTGAATAGAAGTCAAGATATTGTAATTGAAGGAGGTTGTGCATTGCCAAGTGTCAGAGATAAAATTTGCGAGAGAATGCCGAAATCTTTTTAGTTCCGAAACGCATGTGTCCTTGGAAACAGTAAATCATTTAAATCGTTCTGCTTTGATCAACACTTTTCAGTAAAATCTACACATTTTACATGCATTTTTAAAAGATCCTTTAGGTGTTGAGCTAAATTAGAAAGTACGAAAGAACTGATCATACTAAGTATGCACGTAATACACTATTGAGCACTATCATACGCATTTTTTTTCTACTAATCAGATGGTGTCAATCTCATATAAATGGGTAAGGGATAAAAAACAAAAAAAAGTACGATAAAAATTGCCCAACTAGTTAATGGGGAAATGTTCATTTCTTCAAAATTCATTATTTCGACGAGCGCCTGATTTCACCGCAATGCCGTACAAATATCGCCGTGTCTCGTCCGCTGGCTCAGAGACTCCGGCATAGTTTGTGTAACACCGATCCCGGTGCTAACCCATTAGAAAATCGTTGAACAAATTGTATCGAAGTGACCAGGCAATATCATCGCAGCTTTATTAAAACGTTTAACATTTATTGCTTGAATTTCCCCACTGAAGGTACCGAGTAACTTTTGTCACCTTCAGACGTTTAACTTTCAACACCACTTACATGGTCTCTTTAAAAAATACTAAACCACTTTATCTTTAAAAGTAACCTGAAAGGCTTTTTAAATGCTCTCTTTAAAAAATGTAAATGAAAAACAATACGCTATTTATCTAATCTTCAGAGATAAAGTTGATGTTAAAAGCGTTTGAAGGAATTCCCATTGCCTCCAAAGTAATATAAATTGAATGGATAAAAAATGATGAAAGAAGCAAAGCATGCACGACACTTAGTTCTTGTAAAAAGATTTACCTCCACCCCCCCCCA